TATATCTCTCGCACTTGGCCACATTCACACCTAGTGACGATCCCCCTTAATGCCAGAAAACTGAGGATCACAGGACGGTGTGAAAACAGAAAATGTGTGGTTTCAATACAGCTGGGAAAAAAAAAAAAAAACATGAGATAATTATGGAGCCAGATCGGCCTCTGCTTCCTGATCATGGAACACTGCACAGTACAAGCGCAGCTTGAGCTTCTTGAGTCTGTTCAGTAAAGAGCGTTTTGATTGGTGGATTAAAAGCTCACCGCGATTGGCTGAATGGAACATCCTCCAAAAAAAGATATTTATGAATCTTAACCTGCCAGGAAGGTCTCAAAAATACCACACACAAATTCAAAGCAGTCCACGCATGTGTGATGATTTGCAAATGCAGATTTAACGATCCATAAATACATGTACCATTATTCATAAATGTGTGATGGAAATTAATTCAAGAAATTTATATATACATATTTGTGTAAACATTTTAAATTTATTTAGGTAAGATGCATTTGTGTGAGCATTTGGGGAAATATTTATGCTTTTACTTGTGTATTTATGAATTGTGGTCTGAATTTACGAATCGGATTTTGCAAATGTAAATTGTGCTGTGCACTTATGAATTTTGTTTTGCAAATGTGTTATTTTTGAGGCTGATCTGGCTCCATAGATAATCCTCATGTGACACAACCACATGATTCAGCAGACTGAGACAGACATACAAGCACGCACCTGACCCAGCAACCAATGAAAGGGCATCTGTAATGTGACATAATACATAAGCATTTGGCATGTTCTGCAAGAGCACACGCACTCATATGAACTGATGCATCTAGAAGGTTTCATTATAAAAATACGAAATGCTCATATTACACACTGCTAAGTTTTGGAAGAGACATCTCTAAAGTATATACAGAGCAAATTGCGATGTCAGACATAGTATACAGACATAGTAATGGTTATAGTAATGCCTCTGCGTCTCATGATTGTAAGAAGAATGAATGCTAAAACCTAGAGTATATTCCAGTTTTAGTATGTACAGCCAAACGCATAGCCTTTATGCTCCATTTGATAGTGAGTCCATGTGAAGTGCATCGAGTCCAATCGTGAGAAAAAGATCACCCCGGGACAGGATTTAACCAGGGTTTAGATGAGGTTAATCTCAACCAGGTGAACTACACCTCTGATTTATCTCCATTAACCTAATCTTCACCTTATGTGACATCTCAATCCCATTCACTTGTAGCGTTTCAATGAAACCCAACTGTGATCTCACTGTGAAGGCTCATTTCCTGACCACGTCATTCACTCTGGATGGCATTGCACAAGTATCATGTTAATGAAATTAAGTTGACATACTCGCACTATCACTGCATTTTTTCTTCTGCCTCTCGCAAATATCAGTAGCAATCCTATAATGATAATAGTAAAGCAATAGTTTACCCAAAAATGTACATTGTTATAAGTATAATTAGTATTACTAATGATTTTAAGTAGAACCTAACAACCTAAAAGTCGAGTCATTATTAACTTAAAATTTTGACCCCAGCCCTAGTCCTCCTTAGTGTGTTCATGAGAGAAGTAGTGACGTGCAACTGTGAACCAACGATTATTTTGTGTCAGATCATTCCAATCAAACAGCTGATCTGGTTCAAAAAATGATCAGAACAATTCAGTTAAGAATTAAAGTGATTCACTGTCTCTGTGCTCAGTGGGTAACTGCTCTCTAGAAGTTATCAATGAAAAACTTATAATATCAAAAAGAAAAAAAAGAAAAATCACACTATCTTGTCAATTAACATTTAAAATCACATGAGCAATATGACCTCTATAAAAGAGGAATGTGATTATTGTGTGTGCGTGTGTATGTGTGTGTGTGTGTGTGTGTGTGTGTGTGTGTGTGTGTGTGTGATTTAGAAAGAAAGTGAGATGGGGGAGCGAGAGGGAACTTTACAAAGCATTTGTAAATCGGTTCACGGCCAAACAGAGATTATGGAATTAACCCTCAGCTTTCACTTTAGAAGTCACTACTCTTTCCTCACTCCACTTGTCTTCTCAAGGATATTTTTTTATCAAACACGTTGATCACAATCACAACTTAATACAGACAAAGAGGTCAGAGATTCCCTCAAAGTGATTCGATTTTACCATAAACCTCTGTATCCTGATCATTTTTAATGTCCAAAACCCCTATTACACTGGTCTCTGGTACAGCCCTGTGGCTATTCATAAATTCATAAAACAGAGACACACTATAATCTCCCCCTCATTCTAGACAGGACACGTGGCTGTTTGTGTGAGAGCTTGAAGATTACAGAATCAATTAAATGAACTTCTTCATCTGTATGACATTCACATCTCAGCTGACTACATTCTGTGAGAGACATTTATGTCATGGGAAAAGTCCAACCATTACACTTCACAAAAATGTTTTTAAAATGTCCATGTTGCTCTTTTCCATGCAATCATAATGGATATGATTTACATGAACAAGCTCAAACATATCATAAGAGTAATCCATACAACTTGTATAGCATATGTTGTCTGTATAAAACAATACTGTGAACAATATATATGTAGGAGTCAAAATCTGCTAAGATGCAATAATGGAACAACAGTGCCAGTTCCAAAAAAAAAGTATTTTTCACTACTGTTTAACACAGGAATTGCATTTTCATGGGTTTAAATAGAAGATTGTTGTAACAAGACATGACAAAAACAACTGCATCAAGGCCACTCTTTTCCTTTTAAAAAAATGTACTTGATTTTAAAAGGTCAAAATTTGTGACAGCTGACTGTAACATTTTTGACCAGCCAAATATATCAGTATCTGAGTAATATGATTTAATTTCGCCACGATATAAACTTCAATCTAGGGCTGCACGATTAATCGAATGTGATTGTCAAGCGCATTTTGTTAAAAAAGCCGGTTCTGTAATCAGCAGGAAATCATCATCACGTGCTTTCAGATGGAGCAGAATTTAATACACAGATTGTACTGTTCACTGACAAGTTACACAAAAAAAATTGCAGACGATTTTATTGCGCAATTCTGAAAGCAAATTACCCTCCTCCATCCCCAGCTCCTCCTTTCGCCACAGTCAGGACTTGGCTTTCAGATATTCCTTGCTAATCAGACTCCTTTATCTTGAATAAAGTGTTACACTTAAATATCAGTACATTAATGATATCTGCCTTGTTCTGTTCTGTTAACCCAAGGGGGGTTATTATTGCTGCTCTACCTGCTCATTCATGACAGGCTGCATGGATGGGCAGGGAGTTTTTTGCCCAGAACAGAACCATACCGCCAAACCGAACTTTATGCTAAGTATCTATAATTTTGACGATAGTGGTCCTGACAGAACTACTGTTTTGACTACATCAACGCTTTCCAAGAAAAAGGAGAAAATGGCGGCCTGAGCAGATTCAACATGTCTGTCAGAGATGATAATGTACCTAATACATAACACACAAGACTATAAATTTGTTCTTCACTTGCTGAAATTGAATTGGAATGATCAGGGAACTGACGGAAAAAAAAATTGCACTGCATGCTAAAGAGAATAAACACCAAAACTTTAGTGTGTTAGTGAACATTGTTGTATGTTATGTTTTGACAGACTAAAATGTAGTTTTAAATACTGCATTCTAAATACTGAACTATATTTCAGATACAGTTTTATGGTCTTTTTGTGCCCTTTCACTTTCATGGAGGAAAAAACATTGACCATTCTATTTGGACATTCTGCTAAACATCTTCGTTTTGAGTGAACTATCCCTTTAAATGTTACATGATGCCCTGGGCTTTGACCTCCCAGTTTAAAGGAGAAAACAAGGAAAAAGGGAGAGGGAAAGAGTAGAACAGACCATCACATGACAGACGCTCATGTGAAAATCTGCTGCCTGCTGTTTCCCAGAGTCTCCCTTCACCAGCAATCCCTTCACCCACCAGATTGTTACCACTGACCGGTTCTCAAATACGCTTGCCAAAAATGTCTGAAATCCCACAAAATCTGTTTGCTTGAAAAATAACTACGCTGCACTTGTTTACAGTTACTCCAAGCATTCCAAAGCCAGGTTACCCAGGATTCTCTGGGGCACAGAACAGTGTTAACACATATCCTGATGAATTACCACAGCCAAAACAGGATCTCATCCAAACGTAATGACGCAAGATTAAATTTAGTCAAAATAAATGGAGACGCGATGTTCACATGCACAATAAAATCCTATGATATGAGACCACGGACCATTTCCGATAGGCTACTGAGCAGAGCGTCTTCTTATAAGCATTATTGTTGCATGATTAAATCTTTAACAGTTGCACACTTACTGCATGACCACTACAGAAAATGGAACGATTGACAACAAAACAACAAACGTTATCTATACATTTCGGTAAAAAATTAGGATAAAAAAAATAGACAAAATCAGTAAAAAAAATATTGGTTTGCAATAATCTAACAACTTAATGTTCTAATGCAGAGTTTTTCAAAATGTTGATGACCCAAAAATATAGTATTTACATTACATTATATTTGTGGGAAAATAGTGAGCATATTATTAGACAACAATGTCAAATTCAACAAATGTTTAGATATTATTATTGTTATTATTTTTATTTTCTAATTATTTAATATATCCTGTACATATGTAATAGAAACATACAAAGTAACCACTAAACTGAAGCTGTGAGAAATTTTGTAACCAGCTTGATTATTTTCTTGATTTAAGTCAGTTCACACCAGAATTGATATAACGGAATAATAAATGATTATCTTTTACATGAGTCTTTTTCTGCAACAACAGGAAAATAATCAGAAAACTAAGTATAACATAATATTCCAATTAAAAAAAGTTAGACAACCAATCTTTCTCTAGCCAATTTAGCTTGTCTCCAAAAAAGTTTTTTAAAAAAGATCACCACCTGAGAAGTAAGTACCACAGTGATTACTGAAATTACATATGCTCAAAACAGGCAAAAGAGTATTCGTTTCAGTACTTACTTTAACAAACATAAAATCCAGCTCCTGGTTCATGTTTAAAGCACAACCTTCTCTATTTCATACTGAAGACAAGAAAAATTATGTCTGTCCTACTTCTGCCAGCGCTGGGAAACACGTTAGGGATCGCTCAATGCATCTGATTGGATCCCTGATCCCAGGCGGATATATATTGATAACTGTGTCTGGGAGACAGTCTTCCAAGTGGCTGATGCTCGAGTCAGCAGAGAGAACTGTTTGTCTGTATCCTCAGCTGTTCTCAGAACAGCCAAACCCTCTAGTGTCACATGAGCAAGAACAGAACCTTTTTTTAAATTGCATCATTCTGCAAAACTGTGGGACAGCCAGTGGACAGAGAGACAAGTTTCAAACTGGCATGTAAACATAACAGATGCCACATGCAGATGCACCAGTAAATGGCTGAGCTTATTTAATTTACCCCTATACTGAACTTACTTACTTCTACTAGTAATGCAACACACATGTTGGCAATCAATGGATTTTGTCTGTCGTTCTTCAAACATTACAGTAGACATATAAGTGTTTTTGTATTTTATGTCATTATTATAAGAACGGATTGGAGCACTATATTATTGTTCTATGTAAAGGTGCTTTGTCAATGGTAGCGCTCGCTAACTTGCTCAAGGACTTCACTCTGTGCCATTCACAACAGGCTTGGCCAGCTGACCAATCAGAGCAGAGTTGGCATATGGAAGGGAGGGGTTTGCTCCAAACTTGCTAGGAACGAATCGTTTCGAAATCATTGGCAAATGACTCTAATATTAAATGTATATTCTGAGAAAATGACAATGTTTTCTGACCTTAGATGTATTTAAACCTGTTGTAGGGGACTCCAACACAATATTAGGACACTTTAAAATACCATATGACCTGATCTTTAAGTATGTTTCCACACCCTAATCATTATTTTCAACATGTTTATATATATTTAGAAATTTATTTATTAATTCAGAAATATTGTATCGTTTAGGCAGGTTGTACCATATGACCTTGATATTAAAATCTAAGCTAGCCTTGCCTTGTAATAAAAAGTATCCATATGTTTCTGCATGTTGGCCACACATTGTGATTTTTATTTGGCATACTAATTTTTTTGAAATATGTATAATATTTTAACAAAGCTGCTTTGCTGCTTTTAATAATAACAAAAGTTTATTCCAAACTACTTTTAAAGAATTTCATCCTCTGTATTAATTTCCTCACCTCCATGTTGTTCCAAACATGCAAGACTTCTTTGGAACACAAAAGAAGATATTTTGAAGAATGTTGGGGTGCAAAAACCATTGACTTTCACTGTATGGAAAAAAAGAAAGAATATCTTCTTTTGCATTTCACAGAAGAATGTGAGTTATACAGGTTTAGAACTACACGAGGGTGAGTGAATGACTTTTAATTTTTTAACTTCCCCTTTAATTATTCACTTAATTTGTAATTAGAGGTCGACCGATGTATCGGTTTTGCCGATTAATCGGCACCGATAGTTGATTGCTGGAACTATCGGTTATCGACAAAAATCCATGCCAATAGTTTTCCGGGTTGCGTCCATTGCTGGAGCGGCTGAGAAGGGTCTGCTGTCATTACACAGTGCGAGAGCGGCCTCTAGTGGTTGAAATCACTGACAGCACGTGCTATTTGTTTAGATACATGATACTGCACGCTGAACAGAGCGGGAAACTTCAGACGTGGATTTAAATGCAGCCGACAGAAAATCCTGCCTCGCCAAAGAGCGCCATTCACATAGTTTTCCTTTAAATTACATTATATTGGTCCCAAATCATTGTTAATGTACATAATGAATTGTGTATTGTGCATTTTCAGCAAAACATTTGTCTTTCTGTGGCTCTAATAAGGTCTGTGTGCTTCATTTATAGAGCTATAATATAGGTCGCGCTTTCTCTTTCCGTTTGCTCCGTTTTTTAAACACCGAACTTCAAACTCATCCATGCGAAATTGTTCGTTCTTGAAGTAAACTTGTGTACGTTGCAAGACTTGCAACTGTTTTAGACCGCTGCTCGAGTTGAACGCGACGCGTCCGGAGTGTGTGTGATACCGGTGAGTTCTCCTAGACTCAGCTCTGCACTTTTATTTTGATTAGATAATCATCAAGTGTTCAAGAATAGAAGCAGTTAAAGTGTGAGAGTATACATACAATATCCATATGCATATAATTTTAATGCTATAGCCTTTGTGTATATATTTAAAGATGTGCATCTTTAAGCATGACAGTTGAAATTAAATGGCAACACTTTAAAATAAGAGTCAATTTGTAGCATTAAGATTAATGAAAGCTGTGTAAGTATTGTTCCTTGTTAGAGTGTGTTAATTTCAACATTTACTATTACTATTATTTATTTATTTTACTACTAGTATGGTTAAGTACTGTTTTTGTTAATAAAGCACTATTTTAGTTTTTGTTCAGTATCAATTTTAAAACTATCGGTTAATTAATCGGTATCGGCCAGTGTGGTCCAACCTAGCTATCGGTATCGGCAAAATCCACTATCGGTCGACCTCTAATTGTAATGCATTTACTTCTTAATGTATTTTTGTATAAACTAACATGTCATTGACTCACACGCTCAGCAGTCCTCTGGATGCTGAGAAGTTTACATGAATACCTGGCCAACCACATTTATACGTCAAAGACACCTATTGGCTGTTCAAAGTCATGATGAGGTAATAAGGACAAATCAGGAGATTTTTACCTATTATTTGACCAATTATTTCAAAATATCAAAAAAAGTCAAATGTGGTAAAAAAATTAAAATGTGTTTGGTAAAACCTTGCACTGTTTCTGGCTTTGTGTAGCACCTACAGCTCTGCAAACTCTTCTGAAAAAAAAAGCAGTTGACATGTATTTTTGTCCAATGTGTACCAAGTATATTGGATCTGACAGAAAACCTACAGCTTGTGTGTGTGCGCATCATTATAAATTGACCTAATTGAAAGAAATTAAATAATAAAAAGGATCATCTTAATATTATTCTTTTTACACAAAGATCAGAGTCTTTTAGCACAGCTTTGTGCGTGTGAGAGTGCGATTTCATCCTCTGTTATAAGGATCTGGTGATTCTGCAAAAAGTTGGTTCCATGAGATCTGTAAGCAGCAGCCTGTGGCAGAATTCCAGGCCATTCCCTGCATCAATGTGAGTTTTATCCAGAGAACATGAGCACACACAAAGACCCGCGTGTTCTCAGGGTTGCCTGCAAACCCGAGGAAATTGTGAATATGACTTCTTGGATTTAGTGACCTTTGAGAGAGGATAGGAAAATCTCATGCTGACTGCAGACTGACTGCATGACATCATAGCAGTTAATATCACTATAATAATACTTTGTCTAATGCATCACAATAACCAAGAGAAGCACTACAAGCATCAAAGAAACAGTTCATCCAAAAAATGAAATTTCTGTCAATTTTCTCACCCTCATGTTGTTTCAAACGCTTTGTTTCTTCTGCGGAACATGTAAGATAATATTAATAAAGTCAAATCAGTGTGAAGGTAGCATAAAATAATAATAATATTTTTACTGAAACCTGAGAGGTTTCTGTCCCTCCTTTGAAGGTCCAGGTTACCAAACATAGAAGATCCAAAGAGGTCATAAAGACATTGTGAAATGAATCCATATGAATTCAACAGTTGAATCAAAGTCCTGTGAAGAGATACAATTGGCTTTACTTAATAAAGGCTATACCTCATTGGTTCTTGTTTAGCACACATGCATATTTGAGCTTCTGGGTTTATCAAAAGTGACATGCTATCTTTATTTAGATATAAACAAAAGGCTAAATTAAATCTATTCATCATATAAAGTGATCATATCTTGTCAGTCACCATAAGACATTAAACCAGTCGATTCACATGGATTCATTTTACGATGCCTTTATGACCTTTTTTGGCTCTTCTACGTTTTATGGGTTTGGAACAACACGAAGGTGAGCAAATGATTCAAAACGTTCATTTTTGGGTGAACTATCCCTTTAATCAGATACACAACTTGCCTGGAAATAAACAGGCTATTGCATATATGCTGACTACTAAACAAAACCATGCTGCCCACATTAAATTGCAAACGTATTTTTAAAAATAACCCTTGTCAAGCTTGCTGTACATGTAAGCTTGAATCAAAATAAATGTGCCGTGCTCTAGCAGCTCTCAAAAGGATCCGTCAGTGCATTTACAATAAGACAGCTGCATCATGGGGGATGGGTGGGCCTCCCCCCTTCTCTCTCTCCCTTTTCAGTAAAAGCATCGAACCATTCGTCATCTGAGACATCATTATGACTACATATGTGATGATGTCATGTTTCGGCTGCTACGCAACAATATTCCAGATTTTTTTCCCCAAGGAGACACGCCTTACGCCTTGATGTGTGCGGACCGGCCTACAGGCCACAGCAGGGGACTATGCTGGAAGATGCGTGGATGATGTTAGAGATGCTCGCATCAGCACCAGAGATGGTCGCATCAGCACCGCCGCGTCCCACTGGCTCTCTGCGGTCAGCCATCAACTACAACTGTGACCCATATCAATACATCCCAGGCCTTTGAAAACCTCTGCTTGCATGTCCAATACTACGAATCTTTGTTGTTCCCAAGGGTGCTGAAGGTATCTGCTTATCAACAGTCTACCTAATACTGTCCATAACATCTTTGCATGCATCACCTTCAATAAAAATAACAAGCAATGCAGGTGGTTTCATGCACATTTCATTGCATTTATATAAATGCTGTGTTTTTATGCTGCAAGACGTTGCAATCCAAGGTTGTCAATTTAAAGGACAAACCGTGTGGCAATGCAGACAAAAGAAAAACTCTAAAACACAACATATGACTGCAGTATAAAACATATCCTCTTATAAAATTAAACAATAGGTTGTTCATCGGCATAAGGCATGCGTGATGAATTGCTTCATTCAAATAATCAGAAGGCAATAAACACAAAATATGCCCTATGCCTCCCAGCAATGCATAAGAATCAACAATAATCCCACTTTCACACGCATGCACGCACTGACATTGCGTTAACACATCGGCATTGCATTGACATTCGCATTTGATGTTCACACTATGAGATGCTGAGTATGTTTACCTTTGTATATAATTCAGACGCAGCCATGATGATGGTGGCACAATGTTCCTGCAATCACAGTCAGCTGAACATCCGATCAGTCCCGAACACTCAAAGCTTTCCTGTAGATCTCACTCAGTCAAAAGCCTTTAGAAGGATGTCATGAATCCAAAGGCACCGGCTCATTCCTCATGAATGTAGTCGTGTTTTGGCGTGTCTCTGTTCGCTCTGGGTGCGATCTATGCAGAGAATGAGTCAATGAAAACGCGGTTGCCATGACCGAGAAAAAAAATGACACAAGAGTGCGCTCTGGCGGACAACACTGGACCACCACACACTGGCATCCCACCAGTTTTCTCCATCTATCAATATCAATCTATCTATGAACAACAGTTGTTGGGGTGTTACAGTGTTACAAGTAACGCGAGTTACGTAATCAGATTACTTTTTTCAAGTAACTAGTAAAGTAACGCATTACTTTTTCATTTACAAGAGAATATCCGAGTTACTTTTTCAAATAAGTAACGCAAGTTACTTTTTTTCCCAATTTATTGATTGACAGCTCTCTTGTCCCCATGTTGAGAGAAATCAGATGTTATTGTAGTTCTAAAATAAATATGAATATGCATTAATTCATCTCACTCACAAAAAACAACAACTCCGATTCAGTATTCCTCAAAATGAATACAAATAATGCAACTCAGAATATGACGCAAACCTGCAATAATTAAATGTTAAACAACACAAATATGCTTTATGTATTTAATCCCATTCTATTAAGCAATGTCTTTGCTTCTGACCTTCGATGATCCAGTTCAACCGTACTAATAAGCACAAATGACTCTAGACAAACATTTGTGTGTTATTTTTATTGCTGAAGTGTGTTGAAATGTCTTCTTTTGCATTCTACTGTACTTTCCCTTCAGCCTGAGGCTTATTCATTTCCCTTTTGGTGTGAAAGGGCTTTTATATTTGCCAAAAATAGAACTTTTTTATTTTAAAATCAAACAAGCAAGCCCTGTCCAGATTTTAAAAAGTAACGCAAAAATAACGTAACGCATTACTTTCCATAAAAAGTAACTAAGTACCGTAATTAGTTACTTTTTTATGGAGTAACGCAATATTGTAATGCGTTACTTTTAAAAGTAACTTTCCCCAACACTGATGAACAATAACAAAATATAATATACGTCACAAGCATGCTCACTTTACTATTATTTACCACTATTACATTTTAATTTACTCTTAAATGATACGGCATTTATACCTGCTATTTTAAATTTTAATAATACATTATTCAAATTCTAATTGAACTTTTATTTTATTTTTGCATTACTTGAGAAACATGACCAAAAAAAAAAAAGGTGCAAATCAACCGCATTAATAGAGATAATAACTATATATAATTATTAGAATAGTTCACCCAGAGAGTTCTGGTACAATTTACTCACCTTTATGTCATTCCAACCGCAAATGACTTTCTTTGGCTCTTCTATTCGGTCTTGGCCATGTAGCCTAATAAATTAAGTTGTAATTTGCTATAAAACGCCCTCAAATCTCATTCATGCTTATGTTTTTCATGGCTGCTGCATTTCTCATGACTGATTGCTATGCATCATTTGAATGTTTTGAATTGAACTGTTAATAACCGTTTAAATAAAACAACTGTTTTCCATTTTAATATATTTTCAAATGCAAATATTTTTAAAATAGAAAGCAGTCATTTAAAATTGTTATATTTGTTTTACTGTGTTTTTTTAATAATGGCAGCCTTGGAAGAAAAAAATATCCCAAACAACAGTGTATTATTAGTGTCCACTCTGCCCTGCTGGTGCATTTCTCATTATTCTTATCAGACACAATAGCGGTAGCTTATGAAACACTCTCTGATAAGATTTTGTGTTGTCAGCCCAGATCTTTAAAGCCACATTTTCTTGTGTATTTTCTCAAACTTGTTCAAAATCTCGGACATGCCTTTGCTCAGATCCTCACACTGGCTGGCAGTGTGTTATGTGCTATCTGCTAGAATTCAATTAAAGGGATAGTTCACCCAAAAATGAAAATTCTGTCATCATGTACTCACCCTCATGTCGTTCCAAACCCGTATGAGTTGCTTTATGTCGAACATAAAATAAGATATTTTGAAGATTGCTGGTAATCAAACAGTTGGTGGTTGCCATTGACTTCCATAGTAAGAAAAAAAATACTATGGAAATCAATGGCAACCACCAACTGTTTGATTACCAGCAATCTTCAAAATATCTTCTGTTATGTTCGACATAAGAAAGCAACTCATACAGGTTTGGAACGACATGAGGGTGAGTACATGATGACAGAATTTTCATTTTTGGGTGAACTATCCCTTTAAGGACACTGTTGCTGGCTTATGCTGCTGCCAGTGGCCTGATTATTTTTTCTCCACTCCTACTGGAATGTTTACCTCTTCCCTGACCCACCATGCCTGCTCTGTTATGCTGTCAAATACCTCACATTGCTCCACTCTCAGATCTAAAGAAGAGTTTCTTCATTTCCACCCACTACACTGAGCTATTTATTTGTTTCTATTTAGAGGACGCATCTCCTCAAAGCCCACCAACACATATTAAATTAAATACAGCACAATGGTCTGCACTACAAATTTGATGTGGCCATTGTCTTGACTCAGACTTGGGCAGATTAAAGCAGCACTATGTAACTTTTGGCGTTTTGGCGGTTAATAAACAGAACCTGCACACATCCCGCGGAAGAACATTCCAACCGGAGCTACTTCTCTAAGTTTATGTCTATGGCGATTCACGCAGGGAATGTGTTACTCCGCAGCGGTGACGACCCGACCAGGCTACAATAGTCCAAATATAAGTACTTATTATAAGTGTACCGTAGTGATTCGGAATAAGACAAAAACGCGGTTTGGAAAATAAATTCATGATGTACTCGCTCATTATATACATTTAGCAAATTTTGAACACAGAAAAAGTTACATAGTGCTGCTTTAAAGTTTCCTGCATATTTGTTAACTAAAAAAGGCAAGACTGAATTATATACAGTATTTGTGGCAACACTCTACAATAAGGTTCCATTTGCTACCATTAGTTACCTACTTCAGTTAATATTAACAATAAAAAATATTCCTACATCATTTATTAACCTTAAAGGTGGGGTAAGCGATTTCTGGTAGTCAATGTTGACATTTGAAATCACCAAAACAAACACGCCCCTACCCCAAAAGGGTCTCGCCCCTATTTTGCTAGCTCTGTCCCACACATAGGCTACATACACAACCCAGGCAACGATTAGTTCTGTGAAACAAAACAAAACCAATGTTACACCGTGTCTACACCGGACACGAGTGGTGTGGCACGACAAAATACTATATAACTCATTATAATCAGTGATGCCCTCTGAAACATTAAAGTGTGACAAACATGCAAAAAAATAAGAAATCAGGAAGGGGGCCAACACTTTTTCACACCACTGTATATGCATATATATGGTCTACACTGGAAATCCCCGACAGAAAACTGCTGCTGCATTCTATTCATGACGTATTGACACAAATTTCAAATGATTTTCAACGGTCGCTTTGTCACGTCCAGTGTACTAGACAGACTTTAGCTGTTGCGGAGCAGACACGGTGTTACTCACCTATCGAGAAGAAACAAAGCAACCTCGGCGTCCGATCGCAGGCCTTCCGCTCCTTGAGTTCTCTCCAGCGCTGGAAAGCTGATCCGATATTTACACAGGTTCTACTTCTTGCCTTATTGTCTTAAGCCTTCTTTTGTTCCACAGATGTTTTTTTTATCCGCCATCTCTATCTTTTTATCGCTTGGCTTGCTAATGTCCATCCTGTGCACTGAACACTCTCTCCTCCATATCATGAGTAGACACGCCCCTTACTGCTGATTGGCTACAAGTTTGTTTTGCTAGTCGGCCCGAATCAGTTTTCTAAAGCGTTTTTGAAAAATCGCTTACCCCACCTTTAAAGTTATTTCAACATTTGTCATCCAAGACGTCAACATTAAAAGTTGGATCTCTTAATATTATTTAATGGACCTGAGCTAACATGAATAGCAACATTTATATTATCTATCACTAACAAATACATTGCTTAAGTTTACTTTAGTTAATGCACTACTAATGGGACCCTATTATAGTGTTGCTTGAATATGCACTTATTTGTTTGGAATTTTAGAAATGGAAAAGCAAGAAAAATAGATAGTCACTTATACAAAATAGACACAAAAGCACAGAAGATTTGCAAAACTATTTTATTTACAAGTCAAAATGGCTCAAAAGCGGCCACAGTTTATGCTCATGCAAACCGTGGACAGTTTACTGTAGTGCGACGATGTGGTGTGAGAAGCCGACAGGCAACTGTCTCTCTCCTCTGCATAGAAGACAATGTACAGAAGATCTCATGGAGTTTATTATACACCAGAGGGTGGAGAAGCATCCTCACTGCCTGGAGTCTACAACCAGACACAAATGACGTATGAAAGGAACATGTGATATTGCCAATCTGTGCATTGGCACTACATCTTTATAAGGCTTTAAGCTCTATGGTACAAGGCAAGATGACAGCAGCCTCAGAGATCTGCATTTCATGCTATCAAACATGACTAACCAAGTGTCCTCCACTTAAAGCTGAAACATGACAAAAAGAAACGAGCGTTCTCATGAAAGAAACAGGGTGCAGATCAACCACATTATTAGAGATTACTTTCAATTTCGTTATCGATTCAAGCACTTAACTCCATGATTAATGGAGAAGCTCACCACGAAAAGAAAATTCTGGCACAATTGACTCTTTACTCGTGTCATTCCAGCCGCACATGACTTTCTTTAGATCTCAGTCTTCTGAAGCCATGTGATAACTTAAGTTGTAATTTGCAAAAAATTCTCTCAAATCTCATTTACGCTTATGCACATTCAAACATACATGTTATGGTGCTTTTGCATCTGCGTCAAACGCAACTGGTTGTGCAATTACTCTGATTTTAATGTGTCATTTGAATGTTTTGAATTGAGTGCAAGTACTAATGACACTTCAAAACAAAAACACAAAGTTACAATATGGCTTCAGAAGACTCAAGATACACAGTTGTCAAATATCAAGTGTTGACCTAGTTACATCTCACTTTTTGTCCATTAAAACTAAATAATGCTGGAATTCACACTCGGCTTCTGTAAACAGTAACATTAATGCCTACTCTGATTTGATTGGCCATCTTGGCATTGTACAACATCTTTGCACCAAAGTAAAACTATTATTAGGCAACTTTTATAATACACCTATTATCCATATAACTATGGATAGAAGCTGTGCGGACAACTTACAGTACAGTTGTTTTGTAATTACTGAAGCTCTACATCAATTTCCCTTTATAGACTTTCTTTCTTTGAAGAAAAACAAAACAGCTTTGACATTCCACTAAACTTCTCCTTTTACGTTCAATGGAGGAAATAAAGTCATACGCAATGAGTAAAATGACAGAATTTTCATTTTTGGGTGACCTAGTCCTCTAAGCAGTGGGTAATTCAGGAATGGTTACAATTAAAATGCAAAACATCTCCTAAAATGCTGTTTGCCCTTACTCACTAGCAAATATGTACACTTTCAACTACATACTACGACACATTAAAAATATCAGAAGACCTTTGAGAACTTCACCCCCTTTGGAGCCACGGCCCAACCCATCTCACAGTGCGGCAGTACAACTCTGCAACCCTTGAATATTCAGTGTATTTTCAGAGGACAGGAAACCATAGAGGATGAGGGCAGGAATGCAGGATCAGAGATAAATGGAGGAAGAGACAGGAAGTGGGAGCGTGGAGTGAAGGACAGCAGCAGGTCTCAGCCAGCCAGTTTGCTGGCAACCAGAGAGGGTTTCCTCTGTGGCAGGTCCTGAGGAGTGGGGATGTGGTCTCCGGTGATCTCGGTCTTCTCTGTCTGCGCTGCTGGAAGCTGCTTGTTCTTGATCTTGGCCTTCGCCATGTTGTAGTCGCCCGAGTCAAAGTACTTTGGCTGGGAAAGTAAGCAGTTCAGGAGAACTTGTTGGCATGAGTAAATTATGGCACAGTAAATGTGTTGATTCTGTTCCAAAGCAAACATGTTGTTAGACTATTGATGTACATGAAAATATTTGAGCCACTGAATGGGAATGAAAAAATGTTCAACAAAAACAACACTGCCAAATATTAAATAACATGAAATAGCAAATACAAATATATAATATTAAATCATTTCTTAATACGCGTCGTACTTTCACGAGCAACAAGGCAGGCACCATTTTTAACTGCAACACTACCAGTCAAATCTTTGGAATAATTAAACTTTTTTTTTTATGTGTTTAAAACAAGTCTCTTATGCTCACCAAGGCTGCATTTATCTGATCAAAAACAAAGTAAAAACAGTAATACTGTGAAATATTTAGGGCTTTCACATAGGGCTGCACGATTAATCAAATGCGATTGTCATGCGCATTTTGATAGTAATGCCGTTCTGTAATCAGCAGGAAATCATCATCACGTGCTTTCAGATGGAGCAGAATTTAGTACACATAGCCGTAGTTCACTGACAAGTTACGCAAAAAAAAAAAAAAACAGCTATTTGCAGGCACTTGATATAATACATTAAGTACATAACTTATAATTATCTTATTTTATTATATCATGTATTTTAACAGTTTTGTTCAATAAAACCATATGATTATTTGCTTTGAAATTTTATTTGAACCAATTATTATTGCCTCATTGCTATTATATGTGTATTTAAGTCATTTTAAAGTACATTGTTTGCTTAGGTCTATTTTTATTACCACAAACAATTATCCGATTACTCGATTGGCAAAATAATCATTAGTGACATTCCTAACTTTTCTATTTTACACTAGTCAACATTTGAAGTGGATCAAAACCTTTCATCAAAGTTGTCCTAAAACCAAAATGCATTCTTGTCTTAGGACAACTTTGATACACTTTTTGATCCACTTCAAATGTTGACTACAGTAATATAATTTAAAATATAATTTACTCCTGGGATGGCAAAGCTGAATTTTTAGCAGCCATTACTCCACACATGACACATGACCCTACAAAAGTCATTCCAGGGTTCCCACTCTTTCATGAACACCAGATTCAAGGACTTTAAAAGGACTTTTTAAAGCACCATTTATTTAATATCAAGCACCTATCAAATTCACACCCCAGAATATGTAGTGTCATGAAAGACCTTACAGTACTTAACATTTCACTTGCACTTAACATTTACAATAACATTTCAGAGTAATAATGTTTTGAATGTGTAGGTTTCATAAATTTAGACCGTTTTGAGCAGTTGTTTTCAAAGGAATTTAATGAAATCCATTGAAGTCAGTACTGGTGATAAATAAAATTCAATTTCTAAAATATTGATAAAATATGCATCAAACTGATTTTTGCTGTAGTTCTTGTACAAGATTTAAATTTGAAAGAATTTCTCAATTTTTAAATTAGTAAAAAGTGGATAAATATTGTAATAACATGGTAAAACCATAAAACATAAAAAATGTGCACATTCACTCAGAAGATACGTTACTCATTAATAAATAAACTCAAGGTCAAAATAATTTTGTAAATTGCTTTTTATTGTAAATCCCATTTTTCATCTTTGACCTAGAGGAATGCAGCTGCTCAAAACGTCAATATTTTTTGAAAATATTTCATGAGCATTTTAAACCTTGTACATGTGCAAATCTGCATAAAAAATATAAAGAAAATAAATAAAAGAATAGGAATTTCTATTTGCTTTTAAACTGTAAACGCTTTTCACAAAGCTGTTTTTCCAATTTTTCAAGTTCTACATTTTCTCCTTAGCTCCATGTTGCAGTAAGTTTTGGGAGTTCATTTTTAGTCCATCTCCTATCCTGAAAAGGTTGCAGTTCTGGAAAATAGTGGCACTGGAGACTAAAAGGTTCCTGATGGTTTCACACTTAATTCTTCACATTAATTATTAATCTTTTTGAAGTTAACATGCTTTTTTCTTCTCCACCTGTTTTTGTCTGACCCCGCTGACCCAATGAGCATTTTGCTGACCAATGGTCATGCCTTAACTTTGAAATTTCTGTATTGCATTAGTTTTTTATATTTCTCATGGGGATTTAATCATTTTTGACTTCTCAGTCGGAGTTAAATCTCTTTTTTGGCTCAAATCATCCGTAAAAGAAAACCTGCCTAATAATTCTGCACACCTTAATAAGGAGTTTTTTATTTCCAGCCTTCATGTACAATTATATATCATTTCTAAATTATTAAATACTAAAATAATAGTAGTTATTAAGATTGATGTGGTTTGGAATTGGTAAAATGTGCTTGGAAAGAAATATGATCAGAATATCAACGTGCCTAATAATTATGCACACACTGTAAGATGTGCTCCCTTTACACAAAGTAAGCATGATCTAGAAATTGAAAGTGAAAGTGAACAGCGAACTCTCATTCAAATGCAATTTCAATACCCCGCATATTGATAGCTGCTCCCTGATGTGCGAAAATAATATACAATATTAGAATGTTTGCGGGAGCGGGACACACGTTTCGGGAGTGGGCGGTAATGGTCAGAAATTCAGCGGGAGCGGGCTTAAGAAAATTGTCCCCAAGGCTCTAGGCTGCACATCAACAACACACACACTAAGTTTTTTTCGCGCTACCCCATTTCCACCCCCAATCATTAGTGCCATTTCGTTTGGTCTTTGACAGAACATATAGGACCATTTTTGAAATAGTGCCATAAACAGGGGTTAACGCAAAAAAAAATATTTTGACTGAAAATTTTTCCTCAGCCAAACCCCATTCCACAGCCATACCTCTCACACACACACAGTTTAAAGGCATTTTTCTTCTTCTTAAATAATAAAACATTATTTACACTTAATATGAGGTGACATTTGACTCAAAGTGACTTACAGGGGTATTTTCTTTTTACCTTTGTAATGGCATCATTTACATGTATGTCAAATTTAAAAATGTATGTTTATAAACTTTTTAAAATTTCTATTTAAAACAATATAATAAGAAGTAGAATAAGACAAACAGGTTACCAATCATATGAAATTAGTATTACTAAAACATTAATTTGTACAGAGGTGGCACAGAAGAACACAAAAGTGGCTTGCAGGTACATTTTCAGACGTTTAATGAGGCTCAGAGGTGGCATGAGTGCAATTAAATTCATACATTTATGTGGAGATTAATGTTTTAAATATAACATTTTGAATACAGAAATATTAAATGATTTAAATAACTGAAATGATACGCTAAAAATGAAACTAAATCCGCCAGCAGGGGGAGACAAGTCACTGATTTTATCACTGAATCATTCATTCAATTGATTCGTTCGAACGGCTGATTCATTCAGGAATGAAGCAAGTGACTGTCTTTATGAATGATTAATCATGAATCACTGACTCACTAGATTCGTTCAAAAATGCACTTTCATTGAATGAATGAAACTCAGCTGAGTTTGCTTTTAGAGATGCAAAGTGGCTTGAGCTGTTACTATATTTGGAACTATTTTCGTTAAAGAAATAGAGCAAAATCAGGCAGTACTTGTTTACTGAACTGTTGTACTGAATCAATATCACATTGGCAAACTCCCTTAACAATTATTAAAAGCTGTCACTCTCCTTACCGCGATCTGTGGGCGCACAGAAAATGAGAGCGCGCGAGTGAGTTCTCAAGACTCAAAAGCACGTGCAAATGATACGTTCCGTCATCTGTCATCGCGTTACAAGCGTGGAACCTGCTGGAATGAGTACAGTTGTTATTAATAGCCGCAATCCCACGTCGAAATTCAAGTCCTGCTCTGTGTTCTCTGCTAATAACCCGACTGTGAATGATGCGAGCGGCGTCACTATGTTGTCACTGAGAAGCTGCAGCCGTGGCCGGGAATGATTTTTGGTGTGCCGGCAAAACAACAATAACCCCAACAATGCGCTACATGTTTTTTTTCCCCTAATTTTTTTTCCAATTGACGGAAATCCGTCATAGCGACGGAAAACTTTAATCCCTGCATAAACAAAATTTATTTCAAATTTAATTCAAGCACTTTCAAGGACCTATGTTTGTTTTCAAGTACTTTCCAGGCCTTGAATCCATATGTCTGAAATTCAAGTACCGGTACTTTCAAGAAGCGTGGGAACCCTGTCATTCTAATATGCTTATTTTCTACTTTTGAACATTTGTTTATTATTATCAATATTAAACAGTTTTTGCTTCTTAACATTGAGGAAACATTGTTGCACTACCATTCAACAGATTGGGGCATGTACTTTTTTTAGTACAAATTAATACCTTTACTAGATAAAGAAATATCAAATCGATCAAAAGTGACAGTAAAGACGCTATATACAAATGTATCAAACTTTCTACAAAAATATTAAAGGGGCTCTATGTAAGAATGTTCATGTATTAATTACTATTTTATTGCCAATGTGTGAAGAGCTTGAGACCAAACTTAAAAAACAAGACTTTCCCTGACTTCTAGGTTTTCTATGAAAGCCTGACTGATTTTCATTTGACAGACTTGGGACTTTGCTGAGAAAATCACAAGGATGTAACATTTACGTATGCTCCCTAGACCTGAAAGACTCTCTTCCATTCTGGGCTGGCACATGAATCTATAGGGGTGTGCGATATATATCGTCTGTGATATCGTAATTGTTGTTTTAATGAGGTGCGATTTGACATTATTGAGTATGTTGTAAAAACCATTCAAAACACACCCACAGAGGGCACGCATGCATTACGTGAAGTCTAGACTAGTGCGTGTACGCATTTAGAGTGTGTTCTTTCACTGAATGATTCAGTCTATTAAAATACATTTAGAATGATCACAAATTCAAGATATGGGGACAGAAAATGTATATATTTATATAACTTCATATAGTTAATCAATTTCACATGAAGAGTGCCGTTTTTCTCCAAAAATAACTATGATTACAAATGTACAGTTCAACAGACAAGAAGTTAATTAAGAGACTTGCGTTTTAGACATCATATTGGTTTTCCCCTCTATTTTGCCAACAAAAATAATTTCAAACACAGGTACAGCACTGTTTTGCATCTCTGAGCAACATGACAGTGTTTCGTTCCTGAATGAATCAACCGTTTGAATGATTTGGTTCAATCGCAATGACTCACTTACTGTATTTACAGCAGCGGTTCTTAATCCTGGTCCTCGCAACCCTTCCACTTCGCAGGGCACTTACGTTCGAATGGAACAAACCCCTGAAGCAGTAAGAGAAACACACAAAATGTGCAGAGCGGGGGGTCGCGAGGACCAGGATTAAGAACTGCTGATTTACAGTGACTTGCTGCCACCTACTGGCAGTTTTAATTTCACATATAAAGTATAATTTTATTATTTAAATAATTTAAAATATCAGTATTCAACGTTTTGTTTAATATAACTGCAGGTTAAATGCATTCATGTCCTGCATTAAACAGTGTGTAAACACATCTAAATGCCACTTCAGATGCAGCTTCTGTGTTTCCTCTGCATTGCAAAGATGCATTTTGTTGATCCTGATTTCATTTGCTTGGTAACAGCCCAAATGTCTTATTATTCTAATTCACTGATTAAATGTAAGAATTTGACTCAAAAGATAATGTACACTTTTTAAAAAATGGCTTTATAAAAGGTAAAATGTAAAAATCAATTTAAACTTATTGAAAAGATTAATTTCTATCAGTGTGAACTGACCACCACACAGAATATGAAGAATATCAAAAACTATAGGAGTCAGTTTAAGATGAACTTTGACATGAGCATAAAGGGCCACTGAATGACATTCAGTCTCTTATACATTACGTTTGCACAAGCAAATAAGTAGCTGCCTGCAGTTCACCTAAGAGCCACCGGTGTCGCTGAATTCTACATATCATTTATTATACAACATAGCATTATACATCACTAGTTGTCCGCGACAAACAATGTTGATCTGCCGTGGTATAAGTCCTTGTGGAGATTGAAAGAATGCCATCTTCTCCTGTTCTGTTGTTGTCTCGTTTTTATAGTTTTAAATAATGATTTGATATTGCTGCCCGCTTCTTCTTCGGCTTTTGCCGTGGTACTGCGGCTTACACAAGCAACATACCCACTAGCGGTCTGCATGTGTGCTGCACATCGACGTGGACAACGACGCAGAAGTATAAATGAAAACTGACCCATAGCCTGTGGCGTAAAGGCTACAGTGTAGGTCCGACGCAGAAGTATAAATTAGCCTTTAGTGTATATCAATGACCGAGTTCAATGTTCTCAAACTGACCAGAACTTGTGTCTGTTGTCTCGCAATGCTAATGCCATCTGTGGTTCATCACTCTTCACATGATGCTGTGATGTTCTACTGCCTGTGTGAAACCACCAAAGCCCCGTGATCTGTATCTCCTCTTCTAACAAAGTTATTCACCCTACCAATATGGGTGGTAGAAAGAGAGCGTGTGAATGAATCTCACCCCCTTCTGCAGTCTTTTTCTGAGCAGATCGGATCCTCCGGGTTTATTACCCAAGAGAGGGTATTTGGCCTTCAGTTTGGCTTCCTCCAGTTTCTCTGGACAGACCTTATTCTCCTCCTCCTGAGAGAAAGCATACACATCACACACACAAATTAATGTCACACATTTGACTGGCACCATTTAACCCTTTGGGGTCTGAGGGTGTTTTGGGGCCTTGGAGAAGTTTTGACATGCCCTGACATTTGTGTTTTTTTCAGTATCTTAAAAACATATTAATGGCTAAAGTCTGATAACACTGTAATCAGCACAAACTGGGTTACAATAATATGAGAGCGGCATGTATGTACATGATTGTGTTTTTGAGAAAACAACGTTTATGTGTGGTTAGTGAACCATGTGTGGTTCAGTCACTGAAATAAGGCCATAAAACACATACATATTTGTTCACAAAACTTTTGAGAACTGGATGTGGTAGACTAGTTTTTGCTACAAAATGATGTGAAAATTATCCTGTTCACTCGTTCATAGAAAACTATATATTGATTTAACATTTGTAAAACGTGTTTTGTGATATGCCCATATGCGAGGGAGTGACACAATGGCCATGAATATTTAGTGATTCACACCTGAGAGACAAAGGGCCTCTCATAATGGACCAGCAATATGAATATGACTAAGGCAGGTAAGAAAGAGTGTGAGGAGAGTAAAATAATGCTGTTTTTTTTTTTAAATATTATTATTTGTATTTTATTTACAACACAGCATAATAAAAATATACACAGTGAAGGTCAAAGACACATAATTGAACATACTGATCTGAACACTGGGACTTGAACAGTTACACACCTTTGTGCCAAACATTCCTAGACTCTAATAACATTCATAGAGTTAACACTCGTACTACTTTTATATCTTGTGGTTTTATATGTTATAAAAGATTAAACAAACATCCTGGCATTGTGAGACATTTAGACAATGAAATTACATGTATTTCAAAATGTTTCACTTGATTTCATACATGTAGTCAGGAATTAGTTTGGGGAAAGTCTAACTAATAAAATGTGTATAAGTTATGTCACAATAACAACAGATGCAAGTAATCTTAGGCTACTCATCAGAATGCCAGAATGATATCCTTCATTGGATCAAGCTGTGTGACGCATCGCGTTGTGTTCTTTTTCTGAGGTAAAGTTATCCCTCCAAGCGCGTCTTCTTCCAGAAACAAAAAGTAGCCGGGATGAACTCTTCACGTTTGTTTACGTATGATGTGGGTATTTACTGTACATGTGTGCGTGTCTCACGTGGATGTTTAGAATTTGAAAAGCGCGAGCTGCTTGTGGGCATGATCTCATTAGAGATAATGAGTTGAGATGGGAAAAATTGGACATTGCGTTGGTTTCATACGGATTACTTTATCACAGAATATTTGTTTTCGACGTGACTAACTTCATTTAAAATGAGACATTTCAAGCTTTCTGTACATATATTTCTCATGTCTTTGAGGTGAGTATTTGCGGAGATTCAGGTTGTTTTATTTACGTCTCTGTGAAGAGAGGTGACAGAGACCGAGACAGCAGAGAGCGCACCCTGTTTATTTTCTTTATTTAAAAAAAGCACATTGTTTTGTTATTACGACTAAACACAAATAAAAGTAGACCCTGTGCAGTTCAAAACGATACCTTATTCTTATCTGTACGATCAAAAATGAAAGAAAATCAAGAAGCAAGAAAGCAGTCATCAAGAAAATACGAGACAGACCGCACGTGCGGGCTTCGACCCCAAGGGGGTAAATTGAAAATATCTCAAAGATTAACAAAGGAAGCTTTCCCAAAAAACTCTGAAATAATAAAGAGGAGATGGTCTTATTATGAGGAAATACCAGCCTGTTTGAAAACCTGCTATTGCAGCTGTTTGCGGAATTATCTTTCGTGGGTTGTGTGCCGGTACGGCTCCAGCGCGGATGAATCTAATGTTTTGAGGAGTATGTGTGGCAGTCAGTCACAGCACCAGTGTGGGTATTTACTGTACTTCGCAATCACCGATTCTAGCCTACGTCTTGGAATATATGACCCAAATAAGAATTTTCACTGTATATTGTCAACTGAACAAGTAAGTAACAAGTAGGAGTGTCGAAATTAATCCTTTCTACGATGCAGATGAGGACGATTCGGTATCGGTTCAGTAATAGACCTAGGGCTGGACGATATGGCCAAAATTTATATCACGATATA